AATTATCTTAAATATAATAATATTACATGCAATAAACATTAATACTTCAAAAAAAGGATTTTGAGTATAATAATATTACCAAAACTGTACTAACATAGTATGATGTCACAAAAGTTGTAGGAAATATTAAAAATATGCAAATAACTTCTATTATATTCTAAAATATGATCCCCCCAGCTCTATTTTTGTTCATCAGTTTATGTTGTTCATTATATTCCACAAATAGTGAGAACATGTGATATTTATCTTTCTCCAACTGGCTTATTTCGCTTAGCATGATGTTCTCCAGGTCCATCCATGCTGTTGCAAAGAGTTCCTTCTTTTTTACAGCAGTGTAGTATGTAGTCCATGTGTAGATGTACCACAGTTTTTTAGTCCACTCATCTGCTGATGGGCACTTAGGCTGTTTCCAAATCTTAGCTATTGTAAATTGTGCTGCTATGAACATAGGAGTGCATATATCCTTTCTAATTGGTGTTTCTAGTTTCTTGGGATATATTCCTAGAAGTGGGATCACTGGGTCAAATGGGAGTTCCATTTTTAATTTTTGAGGAAACTCCATACTGTTCTCCACAATGGTTGTACCAGTCTGCATTCCCACCAGCAGTGAAGGAGGGTTCCTTTTTCTCCACATCTTCTCCAGCACTTGTCGTTTGTTGATTTGTTGATGATAGCCATTCTGACTGGTGTGAGATGGTACCTCATTGTTGTTTTGATTTGCATCTCTTGGATGATTAGTGACTTTCAGCATGTTTTCATATGTCTCTTGGCCTTCTGTATGTCCTCTTTTGAAAAGTGTCTATTTAGGTCTTTGCCCGTTGTTTTGTTTTGTTTTTGATTGTTTATCTTCCTTTTATTAAGTTGTATGAGTTCCCTGTAAATTTTGGAGATTAAACCCTTACCAGAGATAACATTGGCAAATATGTTCTCCCATGCAGTGGGCTTTCTTGCACAACATCCATTCTCTAGAAATATTTTTCATGTTTAAGACAGCATGATAGTAATAAATCAGCTCTGAAAGTCGACTGCTATAAGTGCCATGTGGTATCAGTTAGATCACAAGCCAAAGCCAATTTTTCAAAACATTTCCTGCTGGAATACCCACAACATTTTAACAGATGTCTTTTGGAAAGTTCTGAAACAAAATAAACCCCATCAGTATATGAAATAAAACCAAAAATAAAGTAAAATGTGGAGGGATGGTTTTTTCTTTTGGCAGCAAGAGAAAGGATGGGGAAAATCTTGAGATCTTTGGAGAAATAACCACAAAAGTGAAGAAATGAACTTTTCTTATACACAACACTAGAAATATTGGGGTTTGGAAAATGTATTTTGTTATTCACCAAAGAAATGTCTTTGACTGCTTTTGAGTATAATGCCTATTATTTCTTGTTCTGAACACCCACCATAACTATAACTAGCTTTTGTTGAAGCAGATTTATAGAATCTAGGGAAAGGATTTGAGAGTATAACTGATAGGCCAGCAGGAACAAGAATAGGGTGAAAGTATCGAAGAAGCATCTTTTGTCAGGGACAAGATGGGCATAACTGGTAGTGGCTGATTCTAAAATGGTGCAACTTAAAGTCTGAGGCCTCTCAAAATCAGTGGTAGGAAGGTCAGAATGGGAGCCTGGAAAAGGAAGGAGACATTTTTTTCTCCAACATTTTATTATGAAAAATTTCAAAAGTACAGAAAAGTCTAAAGAATTATGCAATAAGTACTGACAAAAAAAAAAAGAATTATGCAATAAGCATGCATATACTCATGAGGGAGATTTTATTTTTAATTTATTTGTTTCACTGGGGCTGATTTTTACCCTCATCAAAGAAATGCTCTTGAATGAATGAATGAATGAATGAATGAATGAGTGGTCTAATAATCTTTTCACACACTTATTCTGGGCAAGCCAAGGTAGTTCACTGCTACTCCTGCATGGAGTGGTAATTCCAAAATCAGGAGTCCCTATGGGTCTGCTTCTATAATCTGTTGTTGGTATGCTTCTTGCTCATGCTGTCTTGTCTCCTCCTTGCCTTGTTATCTTTCACTTTGACAATGTTGTACTGAACAATCATATGTGGATATAATTTAATATTATTCCTTTAGAGAGGATTGTTTTGCTTGCGTATGCCAAGAACATGGGGGTGTTAGCAGTACAACAAATATTTATTGAGCATTACTGAGGCAGTAGAAATACAGTTATGAACAAGAAATGGTTCCTGCCCTTACAAGTCTTACCAAAATAAGCAATAGGATTCATTTAAAAGGAGCCTTTAAAGAATAATTTAGTGCATACAAGTATGATCAGCATGCAGCTTTTCCTAACCTTATCCATCTGCACCCATTAAGGAGTGGCATACTGGACCATGCAGAGATGCCCTGAGGTTTCAGTACTTTTTCAGTTTTATTTCATAGATAATTTAGTAAAAAAATTCTATGAACTGATTATTGTATTCATCACATAAAATACTAATCAGAACAATTTTACCTCCTTTGACCAAACACCTAGGAAAGATGATGCTTTAAAACACTATACTAAGGCAGTTACTAATTCATGGCAGAAATAAAACCATAGCCTATTTGAATATTATGAATCAAAATACTCTAAATCAAATGACCATATGCAGGGACTCAAGTGCTTGTGTCTAGGTCAGTGATGGCGAACCTTTTGAGCTCGGTGTGTCAGCATTTTGAAAAACCCTAACTTAACTCTGGTGCCGTGTCACATACAGAAATTTTTTGATATTTGCAACCATAGGAAAACAAAGACTTATATTTTTGATATTTATTTTATATATTTAAATGCCATTTAACAAAGAAAAATCAACCAAAAAAATGAGTTCGCGTGTCACCTCTGACACGCGTGTCATGGGTTCGCCATCACTGGTCTAGGTGGTAGAGCCAAAGAACATAATCCTTTCACAGACAAGCTCAAGAGTACCTAATTTCATCCTTCACAAACTGGAGGTTGGAGTCACTATCAAGAGAATGATTAGTTGAAAAGGAATATTCTGTGGAGTATAACCCATGGAGACCTTGACTTCATATTGATGACTCAAACTGAACAGTCTGAGCTCTCTCTCTCTCTCTGGACTTACTATCCTTAGTCATTTCCAGGTGTTACCCCATGCTTGTTTAATGGGATAGGTTTTTTTTTTTCAAACAGATGAAAAATCATTCCTCATCTCTCACTCCTGAAAAAAAATACTCAACAGGAGAAGTGACTTAGGAGATTTAAGTTACCAAATTTAATATATTAATATCATTAATATGTTTTCTGCCTTGCAGTTTCCTGCTGTTTGACTTTTTGAAATCCTTTCATGAGACACCAAAACCTTTGGTTTCTTGGAAACAAATTCCTTTACCATGTAGGTTTTACTGTCAGGCTCCCTTTTTCTTACTTCCATGAGTTTGCTCTCTATTTTGTATACCCCAGTGTCTTACTTGTGACTGCTTCTTATGAGAGAGCCAGGTTAAGTGCCTGAACTCAGGCCACATATGCCATATCTATCAAATGATCACTTTCAGTGGGGAAGCCATTGACCCTACAAAATCATTTGTCTTAAATAATATATAGATCAAAATTAACTATGTCTGAGGAGATGGCATTTGCTCTGCTTAAAAATTAATGAACAACAATGCATGCATGCCAGTGGCTTAAGAATAACTAGAACCAGCATACGTCAGTACCATGCCACCGATGGAACCAAGGGTTACTTGTGGTTTCCTCTGTTTGTTTTCACCTATTTGCACTAAGGTGGTCAGTTCTCTTGGAATCTGTGGCACCTGATTCCCCCTGAGATCTTGAGTATGACCCTTACTTTATTTTGGTTTCCCATCACTGTTAAAAAGCACAGAGCTGGTATCATTCAAGTTTACAAATAGTTTGTTAGAGCTCTTACAATGAGGAGGAGTTTTGTTGGCATCATGAAAGACTGAAAGGAAAATGAAATATAGCTCCTGACCTCTAGGAATTTTTAACTTAATAAATGAAAAAAGACACATCAGGGATAATTCATGTTACATTAAAGCCATGCTACATGGAAAGTGCTGTAATAGAAGCCTAATTGAATCCAACGCTGACATGGTTTAAAATTTAAAAAGAGTTCTAACATCTTAGTAGATACTGAAAAGTGGATTCTGGTTACAAGATTATTCTCCAAAGGTTGGCTACATAATTTGTGGGTCACAGTGCAAAATGAAAATGCGGCCCCTTACTCAAAAACTAAGAATTTCAAGACAGTGACAGCTGTGAAATAAGTGTGGAGTCCTTCTCAGTGCGGGGTCCTGTGTGACTGCACAGGTCACATGCTCATCAAATACAGTCAATGAATATGAGGAAGAGATAAATTCTGAACAGCCCAAAGGAGGAATTTTTACACAGGAAATTTTCTTCCAAGTAGTTCATAGGAAAATAAACTCACTCTAAGGAAAGAAAATAATTCATTATTTTCCCAATTAGAAAATGGGATTGGAATCTAAAAGATAGAAAGTTACAATTTCAAAAACAATTTCACAGATCTTTGCAGCTACAAAGTAGGGATAATAGTAATAATAGTGATAGTTGTAGCTGACGCTGACATATAGAGCTTATTATGTGCCAGGACTTTTCTAAGTCTATTATGATATTTACTCATGTAGTCCTCAAAACAGCCCTGGAGGGTAGATACTATTATTTTTCTACCCTGCAGATGAGGAAACTGATCTTAGAAGAGTTGTGTAATTGTCCCAGTTATGTAGCAAATAAGTGGTAGAGCCAGGATTTGAACTTGGTCTAGCTCCAGAGCCTGTGCTCTTAACCACTATTTATGCTACTTCTCATAAAATAAAGATGAAGGAAGGATGGAAGGAAGGAAAAAGGGAGGAAGGAAGATGTTATCCCATTACATTCATTCATTAATATCATAGATTTGTCTTAACCAGGGTATATAAAGTGTGTTGTGTGCATGTTTTAATTGTTTTCTTTTTTTTTTTTTTTTTTTTTTGCATTTCATGTTCATAGTTTAACAGCACCCGTTCGCCCTCCCCCACTGAGTGTTGCCACATGACCCCATGGAGTAGAAAGGTACTGGTTCTGAAAACATTCCATTGCACCCTATCCCACTTTCTCCAGACACTTCCACTTTCTTCTCTTTACTTTGTGGCAAACTCTGTTGTTTCTAACTAACACAGATATTCTTTTAAATCAATTTAAAGAGTGGGTCTTTTCCTAACTTGAATTAAAATTAAAATTTCCTAACTTGAATTATGATTTAGACAGCCATGCCATTCATTGACTTTCTTTTCCATTTACTTCCCCACACACATGCACACCCCTAAGTTGCAAATAAGGCTCTGTTCAACAAGAGCATCACCTAACACTGCTCCTGGACTTTGTAGTTCGGAGGAAAGAAATTCCACTTCCTTATATTTATCAAAATTATAAAGGTTCGTCTTCTCAAATAAAAAAACAACAACAAACAAACAGACAACAGGACAAAAGGATTCTTTAGCAGTCAATTGTCTCTGTCACCACTAAATAAAAAGTGCTTTTGGCTGTTGGTCAGAGCCTGCAGTCAGGTCACTATTCTTTCTTTGTTTCCCAGTCCATTGTTATTCAAGGAAGGAATCACCTACAAAATGTGGCCATTGGTGGTGGGGGTTTCTCTCCAGCTCTTGTGCTCTCTCTGTCTCTTTCTGTCTCTCTTTCTGCATGCACCAAACTTTTTTTTCTTTTTGGAAATTACCTAGGAAACAAAGTCTTTTGTTCTCCAACTTTATTTGAGCTCCAACTTCACTTCCCTGAGAGTCTGCACAAAAGCTGAAGAGAGAAAGAAAGTTGCAATGTTTTTACTAAAACATTCATGGCAAACACATTTTTCTCAAAGGGGGGATCTTATCCTGTTGGGTGTATTAGGGGGCTTTGAAGATCCCTATAACAAGGTAAGCAAATGTTGGGGGTTAGCTTAAACAACTGGCTCTGGAATCTTCTCTTTAAGGGGACTTAAGAACAGTTCATTTGGCAATATGTGAAATCCTCTGAGTCAACAGGGCATAATGCTTCCAAATATGAAGATGAGAAAAATTTTTAATGGTCCTGAGTTTAGGACAGAATATTATTAAAATCTAACTGGAACAAAAGGAAAAAAATTTTTTTTTCTACAAAACCTGCCTTCCTCCAAATTATGGAAAGACATAAAACTAGGTTCGGTAGTGGAAACTAGGTCTTTTAATAATCTGAAATCAAAATTGGGATGGGGCCTTTTTAATAATCTGGGCCAGGAACCCAAACCTGAAATCAAATCAGACAATATTAATATCTATCAAAGGTTTGATTGAAGAATTTTCAAATGTCCTATAGAAGTCAAGGCCTCTAACTACACAGCTGGAAGAAAAGCTTAGCACTGCAAAACTGAAAGATAATAAACAAGGACTGTTTTACTCTTCCAGATTTGAAAAAGAAACCCATTTGAATCCCCCCAACACCATTTATATTTTTCACTATTGTTTGGGGGGAGATTCTTCACTTTTGCTTTTCCATGTGCATATAGTGTTTGTTAAATGTTATTCACAAACTCCATAGTCCTGGAGTAAAATAACTCCTTGTGTTTTAATCCGGTCTCTCAGGTTAGGTTGGTTTGTCCTTCACATGATGTGCTCTGGAATGTCTCCTGATTCCAGGTTTTCTGGCACATTTTCAAAAATGTTTCATAGGCATCCAAATCATCTCCTCCTTTTGACCCTAGGCATCTAGAGCTCTCAAGACTTTCAATAGGAATTTATGGCAAGATGGATATCAAGAAAGTAGATCTACCTCTTAATGGGTTAGAGACTTACATTTTTCTTCAGGTTGAAGTTTGGGGATTTCTGGCTACTTTGTCTCTTGTCTTAATTCCATTTGACCTGAAAAGCATGTTTATTTAACTTACTTTTTCCTCTTGTGTCACTTTATTATTAAAATTATAACTTTCAATTAGTTGTGTTTACTATTTATATGAATTCTTCCTTTGACCTAAAAGCTTATTTCTGACCAAATCTTTCTTAACTAAACTGTGAAATTCCTTATATGTGTGATTTTATATAAACCTTGATGGTTGAGTCCCAATGTACTACATTTGCAGTCCCATCCCCCGGAGGATGAAGATACAGATGTCATGTTAGGACAAAGGCCGAAAAACCCAGTACACAATATCCCCTCCACACTGGACAAGCAGACCAACTGGAGCAAAGCACTACCTCTCCCGACACCAGAGGAGAAGATGAAACAAGATGCTCAAGTGATTTCTTCTTGCATTATTCCCATCAATGTCACTGGTATTGTTCTGTTCTTTTCTTAGGGGCAGTTGGGTCAGAATATTCTGTGTAGTAAATGTGTTCAAAACCTGTGCTGCTGGGGGTACTAATTAAGAATACTGCTTTGTGAACAAGTAATACCTTTTTAACAGAATACAACTCAGAAGATGTTCAATATGCTTTTGTCAGGCTTTGAACATCAATTTGCATATGTTTCACTGGGCCCCTTGTTATGTAAATGATTAGCAGTTTCTTTTTGGAAACAAAAATTCACCAAATAGTTCTTTGGCCATAGCTGACTGAAATAATGGAAAAAGCAGTAGTGATTAATCATATTATAATGACGCATGGCACAGCAGGAAAAAACAACAACAACAACAAAAAAGCAAACCCTGGGTTCCTAAAACTGCAAGTAATGATCCTGTAGACCAAGTATAAAATCTGTTTGCTTGCTTCCTTGGATGAAGATAGGCTTGTTTAAAAGATTGTTTAGAATTCTGAAGTGATTTTAGGGATTTTTGACCTAAAAATATATGGACTCATAGATGAAAGCTGAATTCTACTCTAAAGCCAGAAAGCCTGTCTTCTGTGCACTCTGCTTTCCTCCTCCTGTGTATTGAGAGTGTGAATATTAGTCTAGACTCTAGGTTGAACGCAAGCCTGTCCAGGCTTTTCTGGAAAAGTTTATTGGCAGCAATTGTAAATTCCAGAATTGGATCTGGTAATCTTTGTAAGTAAAATAATGTTATAAAATATTCTAACTTTCAAAGATGGAAATTAAATGACCTATTTATTGGGCTTTCTTGAAACTTCTCTAATAGTTATATTTTAACTTATTTATATATTTAAAATTTCAAAATGACCATATTATGACTGATTTTTCATCCTTATACCAAATGACTAAAGATTGCATGTTATGTGAGATGAAATTTGGACACAGCTATTATTAACCCCACTCAAATTTCTCTCACATAAAGTGGGGATCAAATGATGGCCTTGTATTTGGCATAGTTATTTCCTTCTTGAAATAAAAAAGGAGTACTAGTTGGTCAGCTGACTGTGAGCTGGTGGTTCATTTTCTTCATGACCTATTCAACTTATAGAATAAATTATTCTCAGAATATGTATCTGATCCCCATGATCTAAATGGGATGGATTAGGGGAGTTCAGCTGTCAAATGGATCACTTTGACATCCTCATAAACTAACTTTCAGTTCTGGGGACATCTGATTATTAGCAGCACCTGCTTTCTTCATGGCACTGTAAGTAAAATCTTGTTTTCAAATTTAGTTCTGATTGTGGGTCTTGTGATTCAGGAAAGGGGAAGATCTTTCCTTCTGCTTTATTTCAGGAATGCTCAGACTAAAGTCTAGATTATCTGTTGATTTCAAGAGCTTTACTGAGCAAGTTGTTGATTATGCCCATATAACACAAAGTGTCTGTGTCTGTATGTTCTGTGTTCTATAATTATTATGATTAGAATGAAGAATTTTAATTTTTGTTTGGAATTAAGAAAGAAAAATTCCATTAGTACAAATTCTCCAATAATATTATAATTATTCATCATGTGATATATCATACAGATTTTTCAAAGTGAGTTCTAGAAACTGTTGTCACTGTGATGCTAAGCAAAACTCAAACTGCTTCATTATATAGCTCAACAAGGTTTAACATTCCATCCTGCCCCATACTTAACAATCAGGATAAATGATGAGACAATCAAATTCCAAAGCACTTTTGTTATCATGGCTTCCTGAGGCAAAGCTCACTCTGAAAAATACATGGTGCATACCTATGCCAGAGGAGTTTAAGTTTTTACCTCCTTCCTCAGTGTTCTAGATTGGATAGGAATGCATATACTATGTCAATAATGTGGTTATGGATAGAGAAACTAACAGGTATCATGGTCCGCCCCCTGTATTTACTAAAGCAAACACATTGTAAATATTGGGAATCCCAGCTTTATTTATAGTTGATCCACTTAAGTACAGAACTGAGGACTGCCTTGTATTTTTATTATATAGTGGTAAGACACTGGTGCTAAACCAAAAAGTGTCCATTTCAGTCCGTAGAAGAAAGTAGACAGTTACTAGGTATAACACTTAATAATGCGGATTTTTTTCAATAGATGGAGTTACACATATGTTGATATACTATACATGATGATTTAAAAAACAAATCTCTAGGCTGTTGTTTCCTCTCAGCATGTCTGTGTTTTAGGGGGTGGGCATAGTGGGTACAGAGGAAAAATACAAAGATGCACTTAATGAGGAGAAGGGTCAGGATATGTTAGCTGAACTAATTTGGGTTAACATCTTGGCTCTGGATCTACTATGTATAGATACCAGATTCAGAGAGCCCAGAAATAGACCAGTAAATAGTAGTAACTAAAGGTTTAAGTCCTTAAAGCATCATTTGTATATGAGGGTTATTCTTTGATGTTATTTTTATGTCCTTTTACTTTTGATTTTCCTACCTTTCTTGCTAATTTTGGCAGTTCAAGCTGTTGTGGAGAGCTGCATTCAGAAGTAAAGCTTAATGTACTGCAGCATAATTTAAATAAGAGCTGAATAAGGGCTCCCTCATATTTGTTTATAGGCTTAATTCAAATTCTTCCTTTACTTCAATAAATATCACTGTGTTTCAAGCAAATGAAAATGTGTTTGCAATTTCTAAAGGCTAATGAGATTTATTTGTGGGTTGCAGGAGTTGGTTTTGACAGAGAAGCTAGTATACGCTGCTCTCTTGTTCATTCACAATCTGTACTACAGCGGAGACGAAAACTGAGGAGGAGGAAAACCATCTCTGGTATCCCTAGAAGAGTCCAACAAGAAATAGGTGTGGTATAAAACTATTAATGGTTAACATTCTGTTGTGTGCCGATTTTAAGGAGATGAAATAGAAACCACCTAACCTTTAATCAGCTTCCTTTGAAAAAGTCAACCCTGTAACTTGTAAAGGTTTTGAAAAGATTTTTATTTGTCCTGTGTTCAGCAAGCCAGGTTGTATGGCATTCTAAGTTTCTATTTTTGACTGAGAAGGTTTGACCTTATAGATTTAGGCATATACATTCAGGTCTTATGGTTGAAATTATATTTCAGTTAGTTTTGCTAATTTTTAAAAGCTTTATGAAGGTGGAAATTATAAATAAAGTAACAAGGTTCAATGAAGATTCATTTTAAAAAGTATACCTTTATTTGAAGAGATACTTTTATGACATTAATAATTAAAAATGTAAATTTCAAGGATACTCAATTAAATATTGAATAATGATAACATGATATTCTTGATGACATTTTTCCTATTGTTTTCTGTTCAATGTGTTTAGGATATCTCTTCATATGTTTATTACTGAAGGCCTGGTGCACAGATTTGTGCACTGGTGGGGTCCCTTGGCCTGGCCTACAGACATCCCCCGAGGGGTTCCAGATTGTGAGAGGGCAAAGGCCAGACCGAGGGACCCCACCAGTGCATGATCAGGGCCAGGGAGGGACTGCAGGAGGGCTCCAGGGCATGTCCAGCCCTTCTTGCCCAGTCCCAATTAGCCAAACTCCAGCAGCAAGCTAACCTACTGGTCAGAGGATCTGCCCTCTGGTGATCAGTGCACATCATAGCGACTGGTCAAACTGTCAAACAAATGGTCAGACACTTGCATATTAGGCTTTTATTATATAAGATTAGTGTATCATCTCTTGTAAATAAGACTTTTATTTCTTACTAGAGGCCCAGTGCACGGATTCATGCACCAGTGGGGTCCCTTGGCCTGGCCTGCAGGATCGGCCAAAACTGGCTCTCCAACATCCCCTGAGGGGTTCTGGATTGTGAGAAGGCGCAGGCCAGGCCTAGGGACCCCACCGGTGCACAATTGGGCCAGAGAGGGATGCGGGAGGTTGGCCAGCTGGGGAAGGACTGTGGGAGGGCTCCAGGGCATGTCCAGCCTGTCTCGCTCAGTCCTGATCGCCTGGACCTCAGCAGCAACCTAACCTACTGGTCGGAGCATCTGCCCCCTGGTGGTCAGTGCACATCATTGCAAGCTGTTTAGTAGCCTTAGCATATCATTAGCATATTACATTTTGATTGGTTGAACAGACAACCAACGACCAGACGCTTACCATATTAGGCTTTTATTACATAGGATAGTGAATTCTAATATTTTATTTCATTATGTTTATATTTAAAAATAAAAAAAATGAATAGTGGCCAAGAAGATAAAATGGACTTTAGTTTGAAAAAAACAGACAAAGTAATTTGATATTGAAGAAAGAGAATTAACAAAAGATCTAAAAGTATATCTTATCTTAGTATATATATACTACATACATATATGTAGTGTGTGTATATCTGTATCTAAATCTATCTAATAATCTATAATTATATCTAGAGAGAGGGGTGGCAGAGACAGAGATTCCCCAAAGCATTTTAACTTTCTATTTTTATTTTAATCCTCACCCAAGAATATGTTTTACTGATGTTAAAGAGAGGGGGAGGGAGAGAGAGAAAAAAAAAATCCATGTATGAGAGAAACATCAACATTTGCCTTCCATACTCCCCCTCACTGGGAATTGAACCCACAATTTAGGTATGTGCCCTGAGCGGCAATTGAACCAACAACTTTTCAGTGCACGGGATGATGCTCCAACCAACTGATCCATACTGTCCAGGCCTCCTAATTTTTTTATGCTGATATTGTCTTTAGGAAAAAGCTCCAACATGCACATGCCAGCACCCAGATTTGTGGGTGTTTCTCAGAATGTCTTTTAGTATGCTGTTGAAAAAAATATCTCACTATGTTTTCCATGTGCCCTAGACTCTGATGAATCACCCGTGGCCAGAGAAAGGAATGTGATTGTGCACACAAATCCAGACCCTTCCAACACTGTCAATAGGAGGTCTGGAACCAGGGACTCTGAGTGCCAAACTGAGGACATTTTGATTGCTGCTCCATCCAGAAGGAGAATCAGAGCTCAAAGGGGTCAAAGTATTGCAGCTTCTCTTTCACATTCGGCAGGCAACATTTCTGCATTGGCAGACAAAGGTGATGCCATGTTTACAACTGCAGTGAGTAGCCGCACAAGATCTCGGAGCCTTCCCCGAGAGGGCAATAGAGGTGGAGATGGTGAGCCCAAAGTTGGTCTTAAACCCTCAGCATATGAAGAGGGAGAGCCTTTTGTGGGTGATCAAGAAAGAATTCCTAATGATTGCAGTGAGGCCCCCAGCAGCCCAAGTGCCCAGGAACACCAGCCTGCTTTGGATCTGGCCTGTTCTCAACATCTCCACAGCCCCCAGCACAAGTTAAGTGAGAGAGGGAGGTCACGTCTGTCCCGAATGGCTGCTGACTCTGGAAGTTGTGACATCTCCTCCAACTCAGACACCTTTGGGAGCCCCATCCACTGCATCTCCACGGCTGGTGTCCTCCTCAGCAGCCACATGGACCAGAAAGACGATCACCAGTCATCCAGTGGCAACTGGAGTGGGAGCAGCTCCACATGCCCCTCACAGACCTCAGAGACAATCCCTCCTGCAGCTTCTCCCCCCCTCACTGGTTCTTCACACTGTGATTCAGAGTTGTCACTAAACACAGCCCCTCATGCTAATGAGGATGCCAGTGTCTTCGTGACAGAGCAGTACAATGACCACTTGGATAAAGTGAGAGGCCACCGGGCAAACTCCTTTACCTCCACTGTGGCAGATCTCCTGGATGACCCCAATAATAGCAACACAAGTGACAGTGAGTGGAATTACCTACACCACCATCATGATGCCTCCTGCCACCATGATTTTAGTCCTGAGCGCCCCAAGGCAGACAGCTTGGGCTGTCCAAGCTTCACAAGCATGGCCACTTATGATAGCTTTCTGGAAAAGTCTCCATCAGACAAAGCTGACACTAGCTCTCACTTTTCAGTGGATACAGAAGGATACTACACCTCCATGCACTTTGACTGTGGTCTCAAAGGTAGTAAGAATTATGTCTGCCACTATGCAGCCCTGAGCCCAGAGAATGGCCAGGGCATTGGAGCTCCTCCTACTCTTCAAGACTGTGCCTGGCAGGACTACTTAGATCACAGGAGGCAGGGGAGACCAAGCATCTCTTTCAGGAAACCAAAGGCAAAGCCGACCCCACCTAAAAGGAGCTCATCATTGAGGAAATTCGATGGAAATGCAGACATTTCTGAAAAGAAAGAACCAAAGATTAGCAGTGGCCAGCTCCTGCCTCACAGTTCCAGGGAAATGAAGTTGCCTCTTGATTTCTCCAACACGCCTTCTCAAATGGAAAATACCAATATTTCCACCAAGCAAGAACCTTCCTGGATTAACCAGGATGAACATGGTAGTAAAGAACCTCAGTTAGACACTTCAGATATTCCACCATTCAAAGATGAAGGTGCTGAATCAACTCACTATGCAGACCTCTGGCTTCTAAATGACTTGAAAACAAATGATCCCTACAGATCTTTATCTAATTCAAGCACTGCTACGGGTACCACAGTTATTGAATGCATCAAATCTCCAGAGAGCTCTGAATCCCAAACATCCCAGTCAGAATCAAGAGCCACGACTCCATCCCTTCCTTCTGTTGACAATGAGTTTAAACTGGCTTCACCAGAAAAGTTGGCTGGCTTGGCATCTCCATCAAGTGGCTACTCAAGCCAGTCTGAAACACCAACATCCTCTTTCCCTACAGCTTTCTTTTCTGGTCCATTGTCTCCTGGAGGTAGCAAAAGAAAACCGAAAGTCCCAGAAAGGAAATCCTCACTACAGCAACCTTCTTTAAAAGATGGAGCTCTATCACTAAGTAAAGACCTTGAACTTCCAATTATACCTCCTACCCATCTTGACCTAAGTGCTCTTCATGTCTTGAATAAACCATTCCACCACCGTAACCCATTGCATGTTTTTAGTCATAATAAGCAGAATACAGTAGGGGAAACACTGAGGTCAAATCCTCCACCATCCCTTGCAATTACACCAACAGTCTTGAGATCTGTTAACCTTAGGTCCATCAGCAAGTCTGAAGAAATTAAGCAAAAAGAAGGCAATAATATGGAACACCCCTACTTAGAGCAAAGCACTCTCACAATGGCTGCTCTATCTCCAGGTAAGATTAGGCCACATACAGCTAAGAAATCACTATCACGTCAGTACTCCACTGAAGACACCATATTGTCCTTTTTTGACTCCTCTTCCGTTGAGATGAGACCAGATAAACTACAGTTAGGAAAAAAACATGCTTTTGATGTAAAGAATCATTGTGATCCAGAAACAGTAACCTCAGCTGGTAGCAATCTTCTAGATTCAAGTGCCATAAAAGACCAAATACATATGGAGAGTGAGCCTATTCCAGAAAACACACCAAGTAAAAATTGTGACTTTCCCAAAGAAGGATTTCAAAGGGTCTCTGCTGCCCGCTCAAATGATTTGGATGGTAAAATACTACAATATGGAGCTGATCCAGATGGAATCCTTGCACAGGTCCAGAAGGCATCCTCTGTAGAGCAGGAGGAAGTTGTACATCCTGAGTCCGTGGATGTGCTTACATCTCAATCAAATTCACCAACTAGAGCCACAGACATAAGCAATCAACTTAAGCATCAACTTGGGATGAGCCGCTACCATGACAAAGTGCCTGGGAATATCAGCTATGAAGCAGAGCTATCAACTGTAAATTCATGCCCTGAAAAATGTTCAGAGCAGGAAAATATTGCTTCAGGTATTTCAGCCAAAAGTGCCTCTGATAACAGCGGAGCAGAGGAGACCCAAGGAAGTATGGATGAGGTTTCATTGAAAGGTTAGTTTGTCCCTATGAAAAGGAGTCTCATGGTACTTCCTGAATTTTTTCTTTCTTACATTCCCCATAATGTGGTACAGCCCTGTGTGTTGGGATCCCTCCATTATTTCTTTTCCCTTATTTTTAAATATATTTCTTTATTGATTTCAGAGAGGAAGGAAGGAGAGAGAGATAGAAATATCAATGATGAGAAAGAATCATTGATTGGCTGCCTCCTGTATGCCCCCCACTGGGGATCGAGCCCACAACCCAGGCATGTGCCCTTGGCCGGAATCGAACCCAGGATCCCTCAGTCGCAGGCTGATGCTCCACTGAGCCAAGCCGGCTAGGGCCTTCTTTTCCCTTATTAAGACAGTTGAGATAAAAGCTTTTGCTATTGATGGATTAAGGAGTGACAGATATAGCTCTCATTTTAAAAATGTCAGTGAAGTTATTTTTTCCTTGAGTCAGCGAAGCACAGCAGTATGCGGTAACTTTCTCCTAAAGATGCTTTTGTTTTTAATTTAAGAATCGTCACCAAGTGATGACTCTATGATTTCACCACTTAATGAAGACTCTCAGACTGAACTGGAAGGTGTGTTTGTATCTCCAAACAAACCTCGAACAACTGAGGATTTATTTGCAGTCATTCACAGGTGAGACAACAATATGAAAGGTTTTGCTTCTTATGGTACTTCTCATCAAATGCAAATAATGGGAAAGCCTTGTGTAGTTGTAGTACATTTAACAATAACAAAAAACCCCACTAAATCCAGCAAAGAAATATTTTTCCAAATCAAATTGATAGACTTGTATTTAAGTTGGGAAATATGAGTCTTTTTATATCGTTAGATTGACTTCAATTGAGAGACTCTCATAAGAAATGCTGAGGAAAGGTATTTTTGTTTGTTTGTTTGTTTTCCCTAGGAAAGATATTCTGGAACAAGTTTTTATTTGAAAACTATTTGTGGCTAAGTAACTTAGAGTGAAATCTGAAACTCTAGTGCAATCTCTGGTTTTAAATAATATCTTTTCTAAAAAATATGCTCAAAGCTGTAATCCTATATAAACAGAGATAAATTGTAAGTTAATGCACTAAAAGAGCCCCAAATTTGAGACAACAGTGTATTAAAACCTACTCATATCATAGTTCAGAACTAACCACTGCTCCCTTTTTCCCTCTCTTCCTAAAACTTAAATTTCTTTAATAACATTGGCCTTCTCTAAAATGAATGCTCCATATCCCCTGAACAGGGGATGTCCTCTAGGCTGCTTTTTAGGGCAGTGTTGTGTCCATGCTGCCCTTTCAAATTCTCTCATCCTTCCCCTGCATCCTTGTGGTCAGTGCCCATATTGGCAAGAATACTTACAACCCGTGACTGAAGAACAGAACAGGAACTAACCTTTGGAAACTGAACCAATATCAGACTGAGCTACCCAATCATAGTGTGCCTACTCCTTTCATAACTGACTACTTTCTCCCACTAGGCCTCAGTGACTTATATGGGATTCCCAAGGGAAAAATCTTGGGGACTATCTTTTCTACTTCATGAAGTAACACTTTTTGAAGCAAGTTGTTGCAAGCAGCTTACCATTGTATCACCCAGAATTCTACTTTTTTAAGGGAACTTGGGTTTTCTCTTGGTGTGATTCTCTTATAAAGAAGGAGCCAACTCTTTAACAACTTTTTGAAAGGAGTCAATCAGAAATGCCTTCTGTGTATACCCTAGCAGGCATACTTCTCCATTCAGAGTGTGAAGAGTCATTAGTTTATTTTTCTTTTGCCCTGTGTGTAGTCTAAGCTCCAATTATATTCCTCTCACCCCACTTTATCTTCAACCTTAGGACAAGTTACTAAGATGTTATGTAAGTTAAAGAGCCAAACTCTTACCCCAAAGAACCAAATGCTAGTGTCTGGAATAGTGGACATAAAGTAAGTAGTGGAGTAAAAAAGACCTGGAATTGAATCCCAGTGCTGCCACTTCTTAACCAGTCTTGAGTCAGTTAAAACCTCTGTACTTATCTATTCCCTTATTGGAAATGGAGAGACTTAGAGTTCACATTCTCAGTTTTGATGATAAAATAACATTTTACTATCTAGAATATAATAGATGCTAAAATAAATGTTAGCTTGAAACTCCTACCCTATTGGAGTACTGGACACTGGCATACACAAGATAACAACCACAAAGGTTTTAGTGAACCCGAATAAGGCTGGTCTCTAATTGCAAAACGGACATTTTCTCTACCCTATGGATTTCTAGAATACTTACCAATGAGCTCAGTCATGCTGAAGATTCACAGAATGTACACTGGTTTACTTATCAAGATAAATATGATGGGTACCTAGGTTTGGTAGACTTACTAAGTTTTTTAAATCTAGGTTAGCATTTGTTTAGTATGTATGTATGTATGTGCAGCACAGTGTGTTGTTTTTTTGAAGGGAAAGTATTTTTTGAATATTTCCTTGTTCTTCTTGCGAATGCAATGCAATTCAAACTTGAAAGAAATATTTAACACAGAAATAGAAATCCAGTCATTCTAAGATAACTGCTATTAAATTTGGAGTCTATTCCTTCATATTTTCCCCATGTATAATAAACACATATTATATTCTAACTTGTGTATTTAATATTTTTTCTTTCTTTTAAAATATATTTTATTGATTTCAGAAAGGAAGGGAGAGGGAGAGAGAGAGAGAAACATCAATGATGAAAGAGAATCATTGATTAGCTGTCTCCTGCACAGCCCTTACTGGGGATCAAGCATGTGCCCTGACCGGGAATCGAATCTTGACCTCCTGGTTCATAGGTTGACCCTCAACCACAGAGCCACAATGGCCAGGCTCCTTTTATTTTTTTCAATTACAGTTAACATTCAATATTATATTAGTTTCAGGAGTGCAGCATAGTGGTTAGACATTTACATAACCTTTGAAGTGATCCTTTGATAAATCTAGTACCCACCTAGCACCATACAGAATTATTACAGTATTATTGACTATATTACCTATGTTGTAATTTACATTCCCATGACTATTTTCTAACTGTGAGTCTGTACTTCTTAACCCTTTCACATTTTCACTCAGCCCCCCAGTCTCCCTTACATATGGAAATAATCAGTTTGTTTTCTGTATCTGAGTCTGTTTCTGTTTTGTTTGTTCATTTATTTTGTTCTTTAGATTCCACATATAAGTGAAATCGTATGGGACTTGTCTTTCTGGGTCTGACTAATATCACTTAGCATAATATCCTATAGTTCCATCCATGTTGTCGCAAATGGTAATGTGTCATTCTTTTTTATGGTCAAATAATTTTCTATTGCATATATGTACCACAGCTTTTTTATACACTTGTCTATTGATGGGCATTTAGGTTACTTCCATATCTTGGCTATTGTAAATAACATTGCAATGAACATAGAGATGTGTATGTCTTTTCAAAATCGTGCTTTGGATTTTTTCAGATAAATACTCAGAAGTGGAATTGCTGGGTCATAAGGTAGTTCTATTTTTAATTCTCTGAGGAACGCCCACACTGTTTTCCATAGTGGCTGCACCAATCCCAAAATTCCAATTTGCAGTGCATGAGGGTTTCCCTTTTTTCCACATCCTTACCAACACTTGTTTATTGATTTATTGATGGTGGTCATTCTGACAGGTGTGAGGTGTTATCTCATTGTGGTTTTAATTTGCATTTCTCTGATGATTAGTGACGTTGAGTATCTTTTCATAAGTCTATTGGCCATCTTTATGTCCTCCTTGGATAAATGTATATTCAAGCCCTCTACCCATTTTTTAAATTATATTGTTTATTGTTTTGGTATTAAGTTGTATGAGTTCTTTGTAAATTTTGCATATTGACCCCTTATCAGATGTATCATTGGTGAATATCTTCTCCCATTCCGTAGGTTGTCTGTTTTGTTGATGGTTTCCTTTCAAGAGCAAATCAGGGACTTTGCTGTTTATGTTTTCTTCTAGGAATTTCATGGTTTGGGGTCGCATATTTAAGTCTTTAATCCATTTTGAGTTTATTTTTGTATAGTCTAGTTTCATTTTTTTGTATGTATCTGTCCAGTTTTCCCAACACCATTTATTGAAAAGACTGTCTTTACCCCATTGTATATTTTTGTATCCTCTGCCATAGATTAATTGAGCATTTAGGTGTGGGTTTGTTTCTGGGCTCTCTATTATGTTCCATTGATCTCTGTTTCTGTTTATGCCAGTACCATGCTGTTTTGATTACTATAGAGTTGTAGAATAGCTTGCTATCAGATAGTGTGATACCTCCAACTTAGTTCTTCTTTTTCAAGATTGATGTTTCTATTTGGGGGTCTTTTGTGATTCCATATAAAATTTTGGATTACTTGTTCTAGTTCTGTGAAAAATGCCACTGGTATTTTGATAGGGATTGCATTAGACCTATAGATTGCTTTGGGTAGTATGGACAACTTTTGTTGTTATTAATCCTCACCTGAGGATATTTTTCCCATTGATTTTTTTTCAGAGAGTGTGGAGGAAGGGAAGGGAGAGAGAGAGAGAGAGAGAGAGAGAGAGAGAGAGAGAGAGAGAGAGAGAGAAAGGTGAGAGAGACACATCAATTGGTTGCCTCCCACACATACCTTGACCAGGGCTGGGGATCAAACCTGCAACCCATGTACTTGCCCTTAACTGGGAATTGAACTGGCAACCCTTCTGTGCACGGGGCCAATTCTCTAATGACTTAGAAACACTGGCCAGGGTAAGGACATTTTTAAGAAAATATTTTTTATTGATTTCAGAGAGGATGGGAGAGGGAGAGAGAGAAAGAAACATCAATGATAAGAGAAAATCATTTATTGGCTGCCTCCTACACTCCCCACACTGGGGATTGAGACTGCAACTTGGGCATGTGTCTGACTGGGAATGGAACCATGACATCCTGGTTGATAGGTTGACACTCAACCACTGAACCAGGCTGGATGGGTGAGTATATTTTAAAGAAGTTAATCCTTCCTGTCCATTAGCACAATATATGCACGCATTTATTTGTATCTTCTTAAGAATGGTTTTGTTTTCTTGATAACTTACAGTGTACAAAGCTTTAAGAGATCCAGATGTGGTCTAGGTTTTCAGCTCCTTATAAAAAGTTGGTTCACTGATTAATACACTGTTGATGTTCCTAAGCAGCTATGGATAATGTTCTTTGCAGCTCCAAAATGGATTAAGTTATTTAAAAAGTCATGTAAGAATTTTTTAATTTAAAAAGCAGATAGAATAGTATAATGCACACAAGACCTTCCCTCCCCCCTCCACACACACAGACACACATATCCATCACCCAAGCCTGTAAACCAGAAACCTATAGCTAAACCTGTCTCATCCACAGTTCCATCTACTTTGCTCCTCTGGTATTCATTAGAATATCAAACATCAAAGCATTTTGTATCAGAGAGAGAGATTTAATAAAAGAAAGCTACACTTCTTCACTGTCTACACTCTAACCAAGACTCAGACAGCAGTATTTTCTTATACTAAAACTAGAGGCCCAGTGCACAAAAATTTGTGCACTCAGGGGGGAGGGGGGTCCCTCAGCCTGGCCTGTGCCCTCTCGCAGTCTGGGACCCCTCGGGAGATAACGCCCTGCTGGCTTAGGCCTGCTCCCGGGTGGCAGAGGGCAGGCCCAATCCCTAGGTGCAGCCCCTGGTCGGGCTCAGAGCAGGGCTGATTGGGGAGTTGGGGCGCTGCCCCCTGTCATGCACAGAGCAGGGCAGATCGGGAGGTTGTGATGCCACCCTCAGTCACGCTCAGGGTAGGGCCGATGAGGGGGTTGGGGCACCGCCCCCTGTCACACTCAAGGCAGGGTCGATGAGGAGGTTGCGGCGCCACCCCCTGTCACGCACAGAGCAGGGCCAATCAGGGGGTTGGGGCGCTGCCCTCTGTCATGCACAGAGCAGGGCCCATCAGGGGGTTGGGGCTCCGTACCCTGTCACACACAGAGCAGGGCCCATCAGGGGGTTGGGGCTCCGCACCCTGTCGCGCACAGAGCAGGGTCAATTAGGGGGTTGGGGAGCTCCCCGCTATCAGGCACAGAGAAGGGCTGATCAGGGGGTTGGGGCGCCTTCCCCTGTCACGAACAGAGCAGGGCGGATAGGGAGGTTGTGGCCCCGCCCCCTATCACACACAGAGCCACAGGGCGATCAGGGGGTTTGGGTGCTGCCCCCTGTCACGCTGATCCCGGTGCTGGGAGGTCTCTCAGCTCTGCTGATCCCAGTGCGAGGAAGCCTTGCGGCTCCGCTGATCCCGGTGCTGGGAGACATATTACCCTTTTACTATGTAGGATAGAGACCTGGTGCATGGGTGGGGGCCGGCTGGTTTGCCCAACTGCTCCTTTTTTTCTTTTTATTTTTTATTCTGGGCCAGTTTTAGCTCTGGCTCCAGCTCTGAGACCTCTGCTGCTGAAAGCAGGTATCTGGTTTGTTTGGGTTCTATAATCGAAACACTGTATCAACTCCAGCTCTGAGATCCCGGCTGGCTGAAAGCAGGTTTCTGGGGTTTTGTTTAGCTTCTATATTTGTTACAATGTTTCAAACTGCAAGCTCAGAGGCCGGCAGCGCAGGCGGGGAACGTTGGAGTCCTCCGTCACTGAAGCAAGCAAGCCTCATGTTAGTTTCAAGCTGCCTGGCTGCCGGCCGCCATCTTGGCTGGCAGTTAATTTGCATATCGCCCTGATTAGCCAATGGGAAGGGTAGCAGTTGTATGCCAATTACCATGTTTCTCTTTTATTAGATAGGATATCCCAATAAGTCCTCCTCTGGAACCTCTAGCCTCCACATTAGTCATTATTTGAAATAGTCATTTCCAAAATCTAATTTGTGTCCAATGGTTATCAGATAATTTCCCTCAAGTTGTAAGTGCTACAAGGGTAAGGACTGTATCCTACTCCTCATCGCCACAGCCCTAATACATAGTATCCAATCAGATAGGGTGCACCAAAATTCTCTTTAAGAAGATGTGTGAACGTGACTTAACAGTTTCAGTTTCATAAAAATGTAACTGAACTAAGATTCTTCCTTTTCTTAAAAGGTCTAAAAGGAAAGTACTTGGAAGAAAAGATTCTGGGGACATGTCTGTTCGAAGCAAATCAAGAGCTTCCCTTGGCAGCAGTAGCAGTAGCAACACTGGTTCCGTCACTTCACCCAACAGCAATGTGACCACCGCCAACAGCCAGAGGTCTCCTGGCCTCATCTACCGAAATGCTAAGAAGTCCAACACATCCAATGAAGAGTTTAAGCTGTTACTCCTCAAGAAAGGCAGTCGTTCGGATTCCAGTTATCGCATGTCTGCTACTGAGATTCTGAAGAGTCCCATCCTGCCTAAACCTCCTGGGGAGCTCACAGCCGAGTCTCCCCAAAGCACCCATGAGGCCCATCAGGGGACACTTGGGGCTGAGGCATTGTCCCCACTCTCTCCATGCTCCCCACGAGTTAATTCAGAAGGATTTTCCTCGAAGAACTTTGCCACCTCAGCATCAGCAAGGGTTGGACGTTCTCGGGCTCCTCCTGTGGCCAGCAGCAGCCGCTACAGTGTCCGCTGCAGGCTGTACAATGCGCCCATGCAGGCCATCTCTGAGGGGGAGACAGAAAATTCTGATGGGAGCCCACATGATGACCGATCCTCTCAGAGCTCAACATAGGTAGCCCGTGCTAGACTGGCTATCAAAGGCCAAAACCCTTAGTCTATGAGTATGGGGGAATAGAACAGAAAGCTAGGGAGAAGTCAGCATGTCACAGGGTACCATCACTTACTACCAATGAATTCCTAAATATTTGCTGGGGAAACAGAAGGTGGTTTAGTCTTTCTTGATTATTTTCCATGTTTTAAGTAGCTGTACTGTCTTTCATATTTTTCTTTAGCTTAGTTTGATTTACTCAATGCCATTCTTTTTGATAACATAGAATTTTAAAATGTCTGCTTTTCATGAAACCTAGAAAACAATTTTCCCAGAGCTGCCTATTCAGAAAAGAAAACCCTCACTGTCATAATTCTTAAAAAGATGAAATTACTCTGGAGGTTTGGTATTTTTTTACATTAAAATGAACTAAAGCAAAATTTAGAAGAAAGAACTACACATATGTAAATACCATATTTTTGATAAAAATGTGTAAATAGATTTATCAATGACAAGTGGACATGTGGCCAATTATCTACTGCACACCAACTGTTTATAGAACATAACAGATAAAGTGTAATAATTGTATTCTGTGAATACCATTTTCATATTAATTACCATATTTAAATGTCCACCAATATGATTTCTGCGTGATAAACCTCATATATGAATTTTAAACTAGTGAAATAAAGGAAATCTTGAGGTCATATACTGAAATGTGATTAATTTAAAATAAGGAATTCAGACCTAACTATTTTTGTGACAAATTGCAGCACCAAACAAGCTAATAGTAATTATCATGTGGCTATGATTTGCCATATGGTAATTTGGACAGAATGAAAAGCATGCTTTTGATTTTTTAATCAATGAGAGAAATAATCATTCTCAATACAAAACCCTGAACAACAACATTTGACAGTGTCCTTTAAACTTTAATTTTTCAATGAATTGCTTTAAAGAGAATGAGCAGGGAAAACTAGTTAATTTTAGATTATGTTTTATATTAGGCTCCCAGAGACATAAAAAGTCATAATCTAATGACTATAATTTTAAAACTCCTTAAACAGTCTAGAAATTAGTTCCAGGTTCTTTAACTAACAAAAATAAAACATAAGCATGCTACAGAGTTGTTGATTTATAAGTAAATACCTGCAATGAGTTTTCAGTGAAGCTTCTCTCTGTGCTGATGAGATTTGTGCTACCTAAAAATTAACAGAAATGACACTGTGAACAATGTAGTTGGGAAATAGGTATGTGTATATGCATTATTTATATTCACTGTTAAGCTGGGAATGGGGGACAGCTCTGGTTCACAATGCTACATACACCTGAGTTTTTGTCTGATTTTACTATATCTGCTTGATGGCAAAAGGGGAGGGGTGGTGGGTGGGAAAGGAAATGTCAGAGCAAGTGCTCTGATAAAAAATGAAGGCAGGGAAACAAGCTGAATTACTTGAAATTACTTGAATTTTCTTGTCTTAAGATGGAAAAAAATGTAGTTACAAGTTGAAATCTGCAAATAGTTTTTACACCTCTGATTTTAACATGAACTGATGTTAATGTTTGAAATGTCAGAAATATAAGTAGTTATATATTTAGAATATGTTTTGAATGGGAAAAGGTAGCAAGTGGAGATAACTAAGGAGGGATATGGCCTATAAAAGAATAGAATGCAATTAGAATGATAGAACATACCAGAGTTACCAAGAAATTGATATGCGTCTGGCTTTAAGCTTATGCAAGTGGCATTTGGGAAAGTAGGATGTGTGAAAAAGGGGGTGTGGTTTTGATTTCATTCATGCAATATGAAGGGAGAAACCTGGTCTAAGAAGATGGTGTATTTCAAAAGAAACACTTTCTAAGATGTTACAGATTGAGAATTAGAGAATCTGATTCTGTTGGGTTTTTTTGTTTGTTTGTCTGGAAAAAGAGAACAAGTCTGGCTTCTATTTGTTTTCACTATCAAATTGTGTTACTTAATTTCTTGTCATCCTTGTATGTAAAATGGGTGCAGGGGGTGGCGGGGTAGAGGAGGGAGAATGTGTATGTGTGTGTGCATGTGCACGTGCGTGCACACGCACGCTCTTGGGCTGGGATAGATAAGCTACCTGGTAAAGGGTACATTTGAACATTTATGAAATGTTATACTTTTTATTAAAAGAAATATGTTTGGGGTTTGAAAAAAATGTACCATCATTTCTCATTGGAACCCATGACTTAAGAAAACCAACATGGTTTGGCACCACATGGGAACATGAATATCTTTTTCTCATGCTTTGAAAAGTACACTTGGCAAAATTTTAAAAAATAAAGTTTTTAGACAAATGTGGTAAGAAACAGTCATTTCCAGTCACAATAGGTTATCTTTTGTAATTTTCATAAAAGCAGTTCGTTTGCAGTATGGCTTTGTGTAGTTAGGGGGGTTTTAAGTGTTAAGAAAGGTATGTGGGCTTTAAAAGTGATTCTAAATCTTGAATAGAAACATGAATTGGCTTTAATAAATGTCACCTTTTTATTATTGACATTAATTTAAGTAATGGTACCATGTATAGCTTAAAATACATATTGACTTGAATTGTGAGGCAATAAGATACCTTCTATATGTAATGATCACAGAACTAACCCTTATAATATAGTTTTACTTATTTTGTTTACTCTAAAAATCTATAGCAGAGTTTCTCTATTTTATATTTCATAGATTTAAAAAAACCCAAATAAAGATAGATTTTAAATTCACTGTGGAAAATACTATTGAGTAACAAACTGAGTAAAAAAAAAAAAAAGCAAGGAATTCCTTAGTAATCTGGAATATTCTACATGGCTTTGTTACATAGTATATAAAACCAAGACTTAGAGGCTGTCTTCAACATCACTGCCATCTTGAAGCAGGGTACACACATTAGGTATTGCAAAACACATCAATCCAAGTTTTCTTCTGTTGTTTGCACTGATGCTAATTTTTTGTGCTTTTAGGTTTATACAACATGTCTATGTTGTGTGGGTGATTTTTTTCCCTTACTCTTTGATTTTTTTTTTATGTTTTGGCTAAGTAGAGGACATGGACTAGTTATAGCAAACAAAACACACTGTTTGCTCTTGCCAAAGGTCAGTGAGTGAGTACATTTGCTGCAGTGGTAGCTGACTTAGAAAACTAGATCATGACAAAAAGATTTAAAACTATGATGTGTCACTATTTTGGTACTAGAACCAATTCATGCTGGCCGAAAAGACAATGGTTTATGGACTTGCATCCATTTTGTATTTTTGTAATATTTGTAAATATGAACTTTTTAAATTGTTGCAAAAAATGGTTTCTTTTGTAAGATGTTTTCAACGTTTACATTCAATTCAAGCCTTTGTATATTTTAGAGCTGTGCAACACTTTAAGTCTTGTATTTATTTTTAGTAAAAATGGTGACAGTTTCATTGTGAACCCCTTTAAAAAATGTACCAGGAAAGTTTGATTACCTAGAAAGTGTGTATTGAAACTGCAAATAAACGTGACTGCAATTAAATTGGTTTCTCTCTTCATTGTTATATAACTGCATTCTTGGGGTTTCACAAACACAAGCATTTTATACGAAACTGGACATAAAGGAGGGGAGACTACTATGGCAAAACTAGGAGCAAAATAATAATAATAATAATAATAATAATAATAATAATAGTGTTTCTACAATGGGCTCAAATCTTGCTTTGTATTTGAGAAGAGAAAAAACACATTTCCAATGTTGGGTACACTGTTCCGTAGCCCCTCTCTGGGCTAGGAAAAGATTTCTGGCTTTGAAATATTCACCTTTACTTCTGATAAGTACTCAGACTGTTCCACACTGTTCCTTCTTCCCAAGATGGGCAGCCTCAATATATATAAGACAATATGCCACTAAATAATGTCATGCAATCTTTATTACATAGCAAATTCTTGTGCCTGATAGTGTTCTAAGTGCTTTGCTTACTCCAACTCATGTACTCCCCACATTGTGCCCATTTTACAGATAGGGAAACTAAAGCACAGAGCGTTACCTGACTTGCCCAAAGTCACTAATGTTGGGGCTGAGATCCCAACCCAGATAATTTGACTCCAGGGTCAGTACTAGTACCAAACCACAATTACTAAGGTTGATAACTATGGCCCCGCCCCTCTCCCTCTCAAATTCCAATACTGATGAGCACACTTAGAATCCGGTCAAAGTGGACCTTAGAGGGAGGGGTAGGAGAGGAATGACGTTTCAAAGAAAGCTTCAAAGAACCAATCAGTGACAGTGGGAGGGCACAAGCCTAAGTGCCATATTCCCAAGAGCTGCCGCCACAAACCCGAGAGCTGCCTCCACAACCCCCCGAGAGCTGCCTCCACAATCCCCGAGAGCTGCCTCCACAAACCATCCCATGCGCATGCGCGAACAGCTCCTGCCCAGTTCCAGAAGCCCCTCCCAGCATTGGAGGTTCGCGCCTGCGGTATAGTGCAGGATTCTAACCCTTTTCCTGGGCGGTCACCCTAGCAACGTCCTGCTGTCCAATGCCCGCGCTTGTCTCGACAGTTGCTGGACATCACGTGGTCCTGCTCTGTTTCCGCATGACTTCGAGTGGCTCCAAAGGGTCTTCGCCATTGCATCCCAGAGGGACGAGCGCGCCACAGCTAGTCCGTTCCTGTGTCTTTTGGAGGCTGTTGTCACCAGATTTGTCACCAGGAAAGGTTTATCCAGCGATATTTCCCCTCTCCTTGAACTTTCTTGTCTTGGGTGTGGGTGAGAAAGCAGTTGAGTGATTTTAATGCCTTAGGAACTCCGGGGAGGGGTCAGGTGGGAAGTGAGAGGATTTGCGTGAGGGAAGAGGAAGAATTTGCTTTTCTGGAAGAACAAGTCTACACTTGAATTTCAGCAGCGCTGAGGTGGAGTGTGTGTGGGTAGTTCGGGCTGGTTCCCATTGCCGCCCCGGGATGCTGGGGCGTGTGAGCTTTTGTGATTTGGCCACTTTTTGAGTAGTTGTTGCTGACCTTCAAGGACGAGTTTATCTTTTTCATTCTCTTCCTTGGCATATCAAGACATTGTTTTTGAGGCTTTGATGGTAGCTGTGTTTGATCAAAGATGTGCAGCGTCACTCTTTTATTGTAAATACATAAATAAGGAAAAAGAAAGATGTAGGTTGTGCAAGGTCTTTTGAGAACTTTGTTGGGGATCGTTTCCCTCCTTCCCTACCTGGCTCTCCTGGAATTCAGACTAGAGTTTTAAACTGGTTTAACATTTATAATTAGTGATTGTTCAGTGTATTGACACAGTTTGTGTGTGTGTGTGTTTTAAATCCTCGCTCGAGGATACTTTTTACTTTTTTTTGCGAAAGAGAGAAACATTGTTGCGAGAGAGAGAAACATTGTTGCAAGAGAGACACATCCACTGGTTGCCTCCTGCCCTCACCCCCACCCCTGGTGGGGCAGTACATGACCTTGACTGGGAATCAAAACCTGGACTCTCTGTTGCGCAGGTCAACGCTTTAACCACTGAGCAACGCCTGCCAGGGCGACATCGTTTTGTTTTAAAACGTTTTGGATTGGCCTGGCTATTGTAATCTGCCCTGTTTTGCTGTGCATTCCTTGCAGTTTGTTTTCCAGTGAAAGGCCACTTTCATCCCTCACCACTGTGAAAAGTTGATGGCAAGTGAATGCCTTGTACCTTGGGAGCAGAATCTTCAAATGACTTTTGAAAAATGCCTTTGAAATATCTTTAATGTCTAAAAAAGTCATAAGAACTAGGTAGCTTTTTGGTCTTATGTTGTCAAGAACTTAGATTTTTTCTATTGTAAAATATGTATGAGCTTTATTTTTAAGTTAACTCATTTTGCAGGAGTTTGAATTTAATGGATTATGTTAACTAATTTTGCAAAATCTAATTATGGCTGAGCTCTAAGAAAATCTTGTGCAAACTAATTATTTACCTTGTGGGAAGAAATGAAAGGAAAACAAAGTTTATGCTTTGCCTGCTATGAACCAGATATGATGCTGATTGCTTAACTGTGTCATTTGGTCTTCACAGCCCTGTGGAGTAGATATTATTCCAGCTTTACAGATTAAGAAATTAAGACACAGAAAGATTAAATACCTGCCAAAAGCAAAATATCAAATTTTGCAATTTGGTCTTGGGCTTGAGTATTTCTTAAAGCCCAGTTATTTTTCCTGTGCCCTGGTACTTCAAATTTGTTTATAATAAATGGTTGCTATATCTGCAATGTCCAGATGCAAAGTGAATCTGATTTACATGTTATAACCCTGAGGATTTGTTGCATGTTACACATGTGTTCCATGATGAATAGTTGGGAGGATGCTGTGAATACCCAAATAATAAAATAATAGTAGCCAACAGTGGGTGCCTTTGCTATACTAGTCATTGTTCTAAGCATTTAATCCTCATAACTCCATGAAGCTTGTACTAATTTCTGGCCTTTACACAATGTTATGGTTGTGAGATTTGTCCTTGTGCATAGCAATAGTTAATTTATTCTCATTGCTGTGTAATCTTCCTTTGTTCAAAACATCACAGTTTAATTGTACATAGCTTGTTATTACTTGTATCAGGAAAAATAAACATAGTATAAAATAATAAAATTTGGTTGAAGTTACAGCTCAAATTAGATATATTTTATAACTGCATATTTCCCACAGTATTAGCCTACATTTATCTAACTTGAGACTTAATTCTCCCTTCATTCTGACTGTCATTATGGTCTGGCTCTGGATGGATAAATAGAATTAGCACTCTCATGTATGTCCCCCTTCTAGTGCCATGATGCCAGCCAGGGTTCAAATCCTTACTACAAGATATGATATGATTGCATTGCATTCCATGTTTTTTTCCTATTTGCAGTTAAATGACCCAGAATCATAACCAAGCCTACACAATTCTGAAAGATCTTCAGCTGATAATTTTATATACATTTATTTAGGTTTAATATGAAATTTGACTATGGAAGCAATCATAATCTTAGAGCTGAAGTGACTTTAGGGATAATCTCAGCCAGTTTTCGCCAGTCAGATGAGAAGGCGGTATCTCAGGTGGTCTGCCCAGCCCACACCCTGGTGGAGACCCAAGGTGGAGCAGACTCCTGACTCACATTTGAAGGCCTGCTGGAGTTCCTTTACAAAAGCAGTTAGGAATCTTAGGAATCATGTTGCCTTGTTTCCAGCATTTAACCTGTAACCTTTAAATTGTGAAGCATTCAGTTCACAATTTGGAATTGTGTTTGATCTTGATTCTCATTTCTATGCGTGGTCAATGTAGTTCTTCAAGCTTTAAAGGTTTATTCTAAATCACAAACAGGAAAATTCTAAAATTCAACCAGGACTCCAATTTGAGTTGGTTTGTGAGAACATATCCATACTAAGTTTATTAACGTAGTATGTAAAGTAACATTTTTATGCATTACTTTTCAGGAATAGAAGGCTTATCAGTCCTAGGTGACCAAGAAGTTTCACAAATAAACCCTCCAGCAAGTTTAAAAATAATTAGGTCCAACTCAGAGAGGTGAAGTTGCTCCTATTGCGCAACGATGTCTAGCTGCTCCAGTGAAGTTGATGTGGTTTGTATTTCAAATTGAAAAAAAATGTGTCCTTGTTCTTTTCATTGTGCTCTATTTCTTTTCTCAATTGAATTTAATTTCAAGCAGAGATTGTAAGTATTTAGTTCTTGACAGTAATCTATAAAGTTGCTGTGAACATTCATGTACAAGTATTTTGTGAACAAATACTAACAGTTCTTTTGGGTAAATGCTCAGGAATTGAATTGCTTGATTATACGGTTGATGTAATTATAACTTTACTAGAGGCCCAGTACAAGAAAATTTGTGCACTGGGGGGGGGGGATCCCTCAGCCCGGCCTGCTCCCTCTCACAGTCTGGAAGCCCTCAAGGGATGGCCTACTGATGGGGAGGAGCAGGCCTAAGCCACAGTCTGTTCTCCCTCTGCAGAAGGTGACTTGCTTATCAGGGGAAGGCACTGCCCCCATCACTCCCTCACTGCTGCTGCCTCTGGCCTCCCTCTGTGGGAGGTGACCAGGCCGATCAGGGGAAGGCAACACCCCATCATGCCTCTGCTGCTGCCACTGCTGGCCACGAGGCTGCCTGAGCCTCGGCCCTCACAGCCACTGCAGCTTGCCTGAGCCTGGGCCCTCACAGCCACTGCAGCTTGCCTGAGCCTCGGCCCTCACAGTGGCAGCCATCATCCATGGCTTGCCTGAGACTCAGGCCGGCCCTGGGCAGTGGCTTGTCTGAGCCTCGGGCCGGCCCTGGCAGCAGCAACCACCATCGGTGGCTTGCTTGAGCCCTGGGCCAGCCCACCATCGGCGGCTTGCCTGAGCCTCGGGCCGGCCCTGGGCAGTGGCTTGCCTGAGCCTAGGGCTGGCCCTGGGCAGCAGTAACCACCATTAGGGGCTTGCCTGAGCCTTGGGCCAACCCTGGGCAGAGGCAGCCGATGCACCTCCTGGTCAGTTCCCCGCCCAGAATGCAGCATCAAGTCCCCACCCACCCACGTGCACCTTGCAGCTCATACAGTCCTGCTCACCTGCACGCGTCCGCTGCGCATGCAGCCTCCTGGTGATCACTCGCTGCGGCATGAGGGCGTCAGGGCATGAGGGCGTGACAACCATGTAGGCTTTTATTAGTATAGGTAAGAATCTGCCAAACGGTTTTTTAGAATGTTTATGGTCTTGTACATTCTGTCACATTGTATGTTTCTTGATCCCTGAAGTTGAATACAAAAATATTTTTAAGGTATATATATAATTTGGCTCAAGAGAAAACACATTATTTACATAAGGGTGTAGATATTACTGCCACCTAGGTGGTATAGGCAATTTTTTAACTTATATCAGTCCTAACACTTTTTATCTTTGGAAATAATGTTAACTACCTACAGAGTCCATTTTTTTTTCTGACATAATTATGTGAAAGCACTTGGGAAAGCATAAGGCACAATACAAGGGTAAGATGGTAGATTTTTATAGGTACTAATCTATAGTAATTCCATATTATTTTGGTTATATCTTTTGAAACAGACATGCATAGCTTTAAAGTATGCTTATTTTAAAATTATTCCTATAGTTCATTCTTAAAATAGAGTTATTAAATGAAATTTAATGGTTATCTATTTATTTAAAACATTCCAAAAACATTTTAAGGTGCTCTAGAGATTAATTTATCAAGAAAAAGGTGAAAAAATTCAGAAGTACAGATTGGTAGTTACTAACTAGTCATAGGGATATAAAGTACAGCATAGGAAATATAATCAATATTACAATAACTATGTATGGTGTCAGGTGGGTACTAGAAATATCAGGGTGAATACTTTGTAAAGTATATGATTGTCTAATCACTATACTGTACACCTGAAACTAATACAAAATAATACTAAATGTAAACTGTAATTGAAAAAAAATTAAATTAAAAAAATGCTTCTGGAAAGAAAAAAAAAGCCTCGGTAAAAAATTATGTAGAAGTACCTAGAATTGAAGATGTTTTATGATTATTGCTTTACTAGCAATAATTAACTTATATGCTATGGAATAAAACAAATTGTTTTTAATCAGAAAAATAAGGATTTAATAAAAAGTTTTTTAAAAAGAAATAGGTACTTAAGTGTTTACTATTATGTCCACAGAGTGGCACTGTTGGATGGTTTAAAAATCAAAAGCCATGTAACATGGTTGTTTGTGGTTAGAAATATTTGCTGTTATAGCAGTTCTGGTGCCAAATTACTAGAAGACTAGTCTTTCTACCCTGAGGTACACAGAGGCTGAGCTTGATATAAATAATATCTTAAGTGTAGTTGGGTTAATGAGAAAATAATTTTGCAAGTACATCTTTTCTTTACTCATAACATTTATTTACAATGGGCAAAGGTCCTTTAATACCACAGATAGGATTTTGGAGTTTCTTTAAAATGAAATTGAAGCCCTCAATTTTTCTTTCATTTCCATCTTTCATGTTTCCTTTTAATTTATTAATAAATCTTCCTTAGGTACGAACTCGAATCACTACTTGTGATGATGATAATGGCATTCTTTATGCATATCAATCAAAGGCTATATATGCCAATGTAAATGTAAGTAATAATTGCCACTTGCCAAATATAACACAACCGTTTTAAAGACAAATATTTAAATTCTTCATATACTATAGACCACCTCCAAACCACCCTCAAGAAATTACTCTCTCCTAAATTTTTTTGCCCCCTTTCATTAGACAATGAGCATTTAACCATTTTACTTCCCTTTTTCTTATATAGTAGGAAATTGAGAGCAAAACTGATTTTCAGTACAAAACTCTAAATGTAGGTCCTTCTGATGTAATAAATTATTTCCTTACTCTCTCTCTTAATTAGTAGTAATCGTTTCTATTATATTAATGTGGGTTTTTCTTTTATTTCAATTCCGCTTTATATTAAGACTTCCGAAATTCTAAAAAGTTAGTGAAAAGTAAAAACAATGTAATTAAAGTGTTTTTTATCATTTATGTTCAGTTTGGCTCTTACAGAAGTAAATCATTAATACTTAACATTTAAAATCTTAGCAGCAAAATGTACAGGCTGACACATCCCATGAAGAGCACCGAAAAACAATTGTGGATATCCTGAGTCGTTGCCAGGTACAGAAGTTCTGTCTGTCAAATGTAGTTTTTTAAAGTATTAAGCTGAACTTCTCTTTATCATATAAAGCATATAATTAGTTGACATTTCACTGTATTAAATTGTGACTATTATCCCATTGTGATCATTTTTAAAAATTCCTAGTTCAAATAGCATCTGTAGGTGAAAAATTTGAAATACCAATATGTAGATTTTATAGCTTTTTTTTTTCAAAAAAGCCCTTAACTGATCAAATGTAGGTATGTCCCTTTCATCTAGATTGTTCAATATTTAATTTCTCCAACATGCTCTTTCTAAAGAAATTGGCTGATTTGGATGAAGTTTAGAATATGCCTAATGCATTTCAAGAAATTTAAATTGAAAGAAAATGGCAGCCTACTTATTTTAAAAGAGTATATCTTACATAGTTTTGAGGGGATTTTGTAAAAATTAGCATGTTGGTAGAGATTGATAGATACATGTAATTATCAAGGATTTTGTGAGCTGCATACCCTAGAGGTAATATACATTTATAAAAAATAAATGTTTTTTTAACATACCAAGTGTCTTTAATAAAATGAGTTAACATACTTTGAAAAGTAAAGAATATTTATGTGAGTCTTTATTATTTTTATTACTGAGAACAGAAGTAAATGCTTAAAGGGGACATAGGTTCTGATTTTGAGTAGGGCTATCCCTGGCCTGCCTTACGTAAGTATTTATGAAGACCTAGGTGGACAGTGCTCTGCCAGGGTCTTCTGAGCAATTGTGCAGGATGTGGTGGGATGTAGCATCTAGGATAAGAAATGCTCAGGTCCCAAAGTCACAGGCCTGGAATGGGCCATAGGGATCCACTCTATTTCTCCTAGCGGGCCAGCTCTCTCCTTTCTTCAACTCCTTACCTTCCCAGTCTAGACCACATGGTGCAGCACTTCTAGCTTTTCTTTTTTATTCTTGCCCAGCATCCTCTTTAGTAAAACCCCCAGCCCTGTGCTGGCTGAGAATCAGAGGGGAGAGCCTCTGCTGGGACCTGTCCACTGCCTGGTAATCCTTCAGCAGCTCTCTAGTCAGCTCCTTCTCCCATATCCCTACAAGCTCCAGACACCCCAATTTTTGCTTCTTGTTTAATGGAGAAAATGGGGGACATGGAGCAGAAATCCTCTCCAAGTTCTAATTCCTCTCCCCACAGCCAACAAACTTTCCTGGATCCATTCCTCTTCTGATGTCTTCCTTGTAAGACTAAGACCTCTGCTGGTTTCCTCTGACCCTCTTTCCCCGTGTTCAGACGCTTTCCTTAGTGGGCCATCCCTCTCTCTCCTGTATCTTCAGCCTCCATGTCTATCACTCAGAATATTCTCCCACAGTATACAAAATGACTTCTTTTAGCCTCCCATCCTTCTTTTGCTGTCATCCTTCCTGTGTCCTTCCCTTAATAATCCAGCTCTTTGAATGTCAGTTATGTTCACTATCTAAACATCTGACTTCCTGTTTTCTCTCTGGGTATTATTTTTTTAATTGTTTTATTGCTTAAAGTATCACAAAGAGTATTACATATGTCTCCTTTTTTTCCCCCGCCCTTGACAATCCCCTGGCCTCCCCTACCCCCCAGTGTCTTATGTCCATTGGTTATGCTTATATGCATGCATACAAGTCCTTCGGTTGATCTCTTACCCTCCCCTCCTACCCCCCAACCCTCCCCAGCCTTCCCGCTGCAGTTTGACAGTCTGCTCGAGGCTGCTCTGCCTCTGTATCTATTTTTGTTCATAAGTTTATAATGGTCTTTATTATCCAAAAATGAGTGAGATCATGTGGTATTTTTCCTTCATTGACTGTCTTATTTCACTTAGCATAATGCTCTCCAGTTCCATCCATGCTGTTGTAAATGGCAAGAATTCCTTCTTTTTTACAGCAGCATAGTATTCCATCGTGTAGATGTACCAGTTTTCTAACCTGTTTGTCTACTGATGGGCACTTAGGCTGTTTCCAGATCTACCAACATGGGTTAGGTCTTGCTCTTCTGTGTACACTTAGCCTTCTGTTCTTACCTGTGCCATAATAGTCAAGTATTAAATATTAATATCAATATTAATATAGATAGATGATTGAGTGTCATTGGACCAATCATCAGGTAGTATTATGATGTTAGTATGAACATAATGCCATAGAACCTTATTTTTTTCTCAAGAGAGCTCAGAGATATTTTTATCCTGATTCTATACATGAGGAAAGTGAAGCACAGAGAAGTTAAGTAACTTCACAAAGGTCACAGAGCTAATAAGTGTCAGAACTCTAGTATTTAGATTCAACCTTGTTCCCCTAGAGCCTGCACTGCTTACCTAGTGCTATAGGCCAATCAATGGGTCTCACACTTGATCGGACATCAGAATGACCTGGAGGGCTTGTGAGAACAGACATTGCTGCCTCCACTCTGAGTTAATAGGTGTGGGGTAGGGCATTTTGCATTTCCAGTAAGAGAGTATTGATGCTGCTGGCCCATGGTCCACACATTGAGAACCCTTCTCCAGGCTGCTACTCAGTTTCTCTCTTGAAAGCATCTCTTTACTTTGCTCTCTCTCCAGTTAAAATAGGAGTTCCTTAGGACAGGAATTGTTTGTTTTTTCTTAATGACCATGTTTCCAGCATCTAGCAGAGTAGTTCTGACAGGTGGTAGGCCCTCAATAAAAGTTTATTAGAATGAGTGAATGAGGAAATGGCTCTGGCCTATTATTTAAGTGTATTTTTTGCCTGAATGAAATTTCTGTGTATGCAAAATTTCTCAGGTTCTGTTTGTCACATACTTGATTGGCATATAGGGATGTGTATTCACAGATCGTTAATTGTATGTTGTAATTGTTGATTGCATGATTTAAAAATGCTTTGAAGGCAAAAGTCACATCTGATATATTTGGCTCACTGTTCTTTCCAGACTGTAATGTGCACTGCCTATTAGTTCATGTCATCATATGGAAAGAGGTTCTTTGACTTTTCAGCAGATTTGAAAATTTCTTTCCTAAAATAGCACCTTCTTTGATATAAAATGAGTCCATCATAAATGTGATGGGTTATAGGAATTGTGCTACATGTACTTCATAATTGATGCTTCCGAAAATGCCTATATGACATGGAGTAGTTGCGTAGGAGGTTGGCACTCCTTATGTCAGCCATCTGTGATCTCTGCCAGCAACAACTAGGCGTCAATTGGAAAGGAAGACATTTCTGATGGCTTGTGAACTTTCTTTTATCCTAGCAGTCAAAATTTGGCTTAATAGTATTTTCTTATATGTTAACTTTTCTTTTAACATAGAACCTACTAATAAATTGTATTATTATAGGTCATCCAAGATGCTATTCAAAAGCTGGATAAGAAGTTTAATATCATTCATAAAAAGGTTGCAAAAATTTACCGTTTTCGTACAAAATTAATCTGGCAAAATCGGGTAAGTGTCATAAAAATATTTTCACAACTATAATAAACCTCTGGTTGCTGAAATTGCCTGTCAGTTAGAAGTGAGAGAACTAATAAGTCTGTGAGATTGCAAGGCTGATCATACTTGTAGCAACAGATGGGAGGAGACTGGACTTCTAGGAAGAATGCTGAAGTTTAGGTTTGAGAAATGTATGAAAATGGGTATTTTTATGTTTGTAACCAGAATGTACAAACTGCAATTAAAAGGTAGTATTAAAGAGGAATAAAAATCATATAATCAAATAGAACATTACTTTTTAATAATAGAATGCAATGTTGCGTGGATAATAAATATTAATGTCTTTACTACTTTATTTACTTTTTGCTCACTCACAATTGGTTTATTATGCTGGGTTTCTGTCATTTCAGAAGCCACTTGGATATGCATACAAACATTATACTTACCTGCTTTCTCGAAAGGTCAAATTGCAGAAAAAGACGAAGGATGTGTCTCTTCCTGCTTCATTGTCTTATGCAGCAAGTTATAGCCCAACTACACCAGTAAGAAGACCAACATATGATTCCCAGAGCAACATTGCAGGAACATATGGCTCATCACAGGATTCCATAATGCGTGATTACAACACTGAAGAGACGCGTCTTAGCCAGAGTCCAAAATTCCCTCCCGTCTACACACAGGAAGATCCACCATATTACGCTTCCAATGAGCGAGTGCAGCGCTCCCCTTGCATGTCCTCCTTTGGTAATCAAGGGTCTCACAGCTCCACCAATGTCTTCTCAGCTGCCCAAGCTTCCACATCAGTACCTGCAGCTATGCTGGAGCAAGGCAAATCCAATCTTGCATACAACCCTGAGATGAGGGCTTATCCAGCTTTGCAGGAAAGGGATTGCCTGGGTCATGACACCTCATCTTCCTGCATCCCAGCCATTGCCCGTAAGTGTGAAAAGGCATATTTATTACAAGTAGCACTATTTAGCCTATATTCCTCAACATACTTGGTGCAAGCTAGTGGAAGCTGTTCATTTCCTATTTGAGAGCTGGTTTGAGGTGATATTCATAATGATGACTAAGATTTATTAAGTGTCTTTTATGTATCAGACACCGCTAATCAACTGACATGCCTCTTCACTAATACTCACAATAATCCCATTGTGAGTATTTTTAAAAAATATATTTTCATTGATTTCAGAGAGGAAGGGAGAGGGAGAGAGAGATAGAAACATCAATGATGAGAGAGAATCATTGATCGGCTGCCTCCTGCACACCCCCAAATGGGGATGGAACCCGCAACCCGGGCATGTGCCTTTGGCCGGAATCGAATCTGGGACCCTTCAGTCCACAGTCCGACACTCTATCCACTGAGCTAAACCAACTAAGGCCATTGTGAGTATTTTTATATTTTGTTTTTCTTTACCTTTTTCCTAGGTAAATACTCAGAACGCTCTTGAAATGGCCAGAGCCAGGATGATAGGAAAGAAAAGATACACCTTTGGCTAATTTACACATAAGAAAGATCAAAATTGTATTGATGGTCTTTGGTTAGAGAAACATTTTCCTAGGGAATTACAAAACCCACTTCTGTTATCACACACAATAGAGATTTGAGTGCTCTGGTTGAGAAAATGAATATGTCTACACACAGAGAAATTTCACCATGACTTAGTGAACATCACAGCTAAAACTTTTTGAGGTATGAGCACTGCAGTTGTTTCATGTCTTTGTTATTTTTCAACATATAAACCTCAATCAAAATAGCTATTGCTGTGTAGTTAAACTCAAAAGAAGTATTGAATATAGTGTTGAAGTTACTTCTGACCTAGCTAAGAATAAAATCATCTTGTTTTCTTCAAAATTCAGATAAGTAAGCCTTGAAAGGCAGGAATTTAAAGAGTAAAACGATGCTTAAAATATCTATAGTGAATATATAGGAAGGATTCAGTAAAGAACTAATTTGGTTCTCAAAGATATGGGGTTTTTGAAATTCATTTATTAAAGTGAATACATTTAAAAAATTAGAAAGTTTAATTTGGGGGATTTCCATTGTATTTAGCTGATAAAATAAACCTAATCTAGACAGATCAATAAGAAATAAATTCATTGAAATACTTAGAGAATAATAGGTTAGCTTAGATTAACCTATTTAACCCAAGTAACAGATCTTTTGCTATATTTGCCTGTGGCCAAAGAGACCTCAGATTGCTGTCTGTTTTATGAGTTTTGAAGCTTTACAGTAACTTCAGAAGCTGCTGCTGCTGTTCGTGGGCAGTCAGATGGGCCACTCATGGGTACCCATCTTCATATCATCTTTATCTAAGCTTTCACTGGATTTTGCACTTGGAGTCTTGGGTCCTTGCTAGGGTACCTAGCAGATGGTTCCAGGAGTGAGGCCTTTACTCTCTACCTAACATCTCTTCTTTCAGGATAATGATCAGGTCAAGTATGATTTGTTTCACCTCTCCCCTTCATTGAAGCTTCAGGTTCATCAGTTAAAACTGACCAGTGTGTGGTACAAGACTTCCCTGATGACCCTTCAACTTGGACAGTAGATGAAGTGATCCTGTTTCTACAGCATTTAAATCCTGAGATATTCGCCCCCCTTGCCAACACCTTCAGGCATCATGTAATGTATTTTTTTATCCCATTTTCCTGCCTTTGAATGACCTCTGTGCAGGCTCTTCAGTTTGATACTGATTAGTGTGGATGGTAAGGGAACTGCATGTGTGAGAAAGGTTACTGTGCTCAAAGTTAGATCCTTAAGTTGTAGAAGCTTTATTTGTAATTTAAATGGCTACCTGAGTACCTAAAATATAACAAGTCTTCAAGTTCTCAAGATGATTCAGCATGGTCACTCTCAAGTGTCTTCTCCTTTGTATTGACAGCTATGACACCACACAAGGGTGTCCTCCTTGTTATGCATATTTACAGTTTGCACTGATGCTGCTATACTCATATTCCCAGCGTTTCTTAAAAAATTAATGACCATCTGAAATTTATTTCTGCCATTCATAGCTTTTATTCTTTTTCTCATAGCTATGCAGTATTTTATTCAACATACAGTACTTAAAATTAGGTAGTTGGACACTTAGGACATTTTTAGGATATTGGGTTAAATATAATTCTTAAAATTTGAAGTAAATTTGTAAAGGATCGAATGATGCTTCAGCTGTACAAATTATATCTTTAATAGTTTTCAAAGAGCATATGCATGTTCAGAGAATATACAACTGGAATGAGCTGCCCTCTAATTGATGTTACATGTTCTTATATATAAAGAAATGACCATTCTGATAAAATATGAAAGCATTATTAGTTATTCTAATTTCCTTCTTTTTGTAGGACATTGATGGGTCAGCTCTGCTACTGCTCCCGAGTGATATTATGATAAAGTATATGGGAATTAAGCTGGGGACAGCTCTGAAGTTGTGCCACTACATCGAAAAGCTTAAAGCACACAAAGGCATTGATTTTTGAAAAAAAAGTTTGTGTCGATTTACATTAGACTTAATTCTGGAAGACCAACGCCATCTCGATGTAAAATCATTCCATTGCCCTTAGAAATTTTTGTGTTGTAGAAGGTTCCTCTAAAATTTTGTTACATCTAGAATTGCAGAACTACACTGCAGTTCATTCTGTTTGTTTAGAAACTGTTTAACACATTACTATCAGCGTAATCAAATTAGTAATTGGTTCTTTATATCTTTTTGTTATCATTGTATAGATAAAAATATACTTCATATGAGAAACACTTTTGATTTCAGTTGATGTTTATATATAGAGCCAAAACAGCTAAATCCCAAAGAGGAAGTATCAGGGATTGACAAGTTCTCTAATAAAATCCATGAGAAGTTTTCCTTAGAAGAGAATTCAAAGATGCACCTACAGATATCATCTCTTTCTCAAATATTTTGTGTCTGTTATAACAGTGTTCTGTGCATGTTCTATCAGTTTTCTGAAAGGGAATAGCCATGTAATTTATTTCCCTTTTGCTATTATTTCTCTCTATATTGTATTTGTTCATATTTAAAGAAAAAAGTAACCTTATAGGATTTCATAAAGTGTTCTTACCAGTTTTTTGATAAATTATAAGATAGAATGACTCTTTTATGCAATAACTCTTATACTACAAGGTGGTTTGGGTGAAGTATGGTTTTATTCTTCTCCATTAAATTTACCTGTTATTTTAAAACTTTAAAATATCTTGCCTAATCTTAGATATTTAACTAGCAATTTATCACTCACATTTCTCTCTGAAGTTTACTGTGTCCAAATTTTAAAAAAATGCATATTCATATAGATACGGTTTTATATTTATATTTTATTCTATAGCTGAAGTATGCACACAAGTGAATTTTTTTTAATTTAAAATGGCACTTTCCACTTCTATATATAGTGAGATGTTTTTATTCTGTAATTAATATGTACTTCATTTGCCATCACAAGTACCTCTTAGCTCACTCAGGGTTTCCATAAGGAAGTTCTCTGTCCTGTGTAGTATATCTAGTTCATTTACTTTCTGAGCCATTTATTCTATTAAACGTTGTAAGGTACATTAGGTTGGATTTGTCATTTTAGACTTTATTTTAAAAATTAGAACTTTCAAGTAAAACATGCTCATTGTTATTATTTTGTTATTTATTACATTGTTATATTGTATTGCATTTGCTGTAATATTTATAAGCTATAAGAATTGGTGCTAACTGTATTAGTCATTTGTTGTAAATGCAATAAATGTTTGCCAAGGGCCAGCATGAACATTTCCTTTATAGAAAACCAAGTGTCCTTTACATTTAAAAACAAATGCAATGATTTATTAGGCATATGTGATCTAAAGAGTGGTTTGATCTTTGTTATTCCTTTTGTGTTATAAGACAAGATTCTAATTTACACTTTTAATCTCTCAAATTGTTTGGGTGAAGATGCTGTGTCCAGTTGAACAGTCCTCAGATATTTATACAAATACTATGTTTTACAGTTCTCACTTTTATTATTTTTTATTTAATATTTTTATTCAGAAAACAGTTCTCACTTTTAAAATATAATAAAGTTAAATAACTGCAAAAACTGGTGTCAGAACCTCAGTTGTGATTTGCTTTCACCTCGTTACATTTATGTATGAATTGGGTATATTGAAAAAGCAGCAATCTAGTCAGTTTGTGGTTTTATATGTCCAAATACTTGAGTTTAACACTTGACCTCATTCCATGGGTGAACAGATTCATAGGGGCAAAGGGCTGGTCTCTTGCAGGAGCCTTAAATGAGAACAGGGGAACAGTCAGAAGTTAAATCAGTGAGCTTTGTCTGTGCTCAAAGCTTTAGTTACTTGCAATGTTATTGATGAAGCCAGCATGCTAGAAAATGCCAGTGCCCCAGATATTGCCTCACCTGAGTTCATCTGTCTGGTGATTCTGGATGCTCTTTTACCAGCAGGGGACAGAAGCTGCACTGTCTCTCTGCCGTCAACTCTCCCAGCTTACATGCTCAGAAGGCCTTAGAGCAGCGGTTCTCAACCTGTGGGTTGCGACCCCATTTGGGGGTCGAACGACCCTTTCACAGGGGTCGCCTAAGACCATCCTGCATATCAGATATTTACATTACGATTCATAACAGTAACAAAATTACAGTTATGAAGTAGCAACGAAAATAATTTTATGGTTGGGGGTCACCACAACATGAGGAACTGTATTAAAAGGTTGTGGCATTAGGAAGTTTGAGAACCACTGACCTAGAGGCTCAGAGTTGTGGTTTTTCACCTTCAGTATCTGACTCCTCAGCCCACCCACCCCAGGAGCTGCTGCTAGGTGTCTGGGAACCCAGAAACTTTCTGTTGTTGCTTCTCAGCAGCCTGTTCTATACTTCACTGGAGGCCACATGGTCATAATAGGTTCCAGGGGTGGTGCTCCAGTGACTGGAATAGGGCATCCATTTGCTGTCTGAGACTTGGGTGATTCAGAACCACTTGTTCTTCACTGGTTTGTAAATTATTAGTGCAGAGAATAGAATGCTATGCTAGCCTCCTGTGAACTTGCCAGGCTTTTAAAATAATATTTCCTCTAGTTTTGCCTCCCATTCCATCTTGGAGACTCTGTAGCCAATAGAATTGAGCAACTTGAGCTCTGAAGCCCTCTGGGCACATCGAGCATTTGCTTTCATCTGTGTGATTTCTGATGGTTGGAGTATCTTATAGGACATATTCCAGAGAAGGATTTCCCAGACTTTTAAACCTGGACGCCTCTGTAATATTGTAAATTAAAAATTCAACATCACAACTGGAAACAATATAATTGGGAGGAAAAGCGCTGCTTTTTCAAGCAGCAGAAGGGACTGTACTCACAGTTGGCTGAGGAAATGAAGTGCGTTTACATTTTGGGAGCTGTTTCTACTGTGTGATGCTGGGACTTGCTTGTATCCCTAAGTCCTCTGAGGCTGATCAGGGAATGATGGGCTCTAGGGGAGGGAAACAATGCGTGGCAGATAGCGTTCTTCCACTCCCTCCCGATATCCCCTCTGTTGTCCTGCAGCTTGATGGAATTGAGCCTTGAAAGCATCTCTCTCCAGTGAGTGCTGATTCAGTTCGAGCTTGCCCACACTACTCACTACGCGAGAGGTGCCTCCTGAGCCACGCTGGCCACTTTCTCTCTTTTTGGAGCATCCCCTGGGCACTAGAGCATCAAGAGTCTTTCCAGGTATGTTACAAAGAGGTCTGAGATAGAAAGAGGTAGCCAAGAGATCCAGGATTAGACACACGCACCCCATAGTCCAGTTTCTGTCATCTGGTCCCGTTGCTTTAGCTCTCAGGGTCGAGGATCACCCATTCCTCTAGAGGTGTGAGAAGTCAGGGAGATTTGGCTGCAAAGGCAGCTGGATAGGGCCAGGGTGAAGGTGTGTGCTCCTTTATTCCTGTCTTGCCCGCCCCTGAATCCCTGCTGCTCCATTTTCCACATTCTGTTCACAGCTCACCCCATTATACTGAAACTTAGGAAGGCAGCTGTGTGGCTTGATATTAAGACTTTCAGTCTTCAGATAAATTTCAGCATAGGTTTTGGAGTTACTACCAGTTCACTAGCTGTGCAGACTTGGTCCCTGTCACCTTTCTGTGGAAGATGATAGCCATTAGTATAGAGGGGAGGGAGATGGAGATACAGAGATAGAGAGAGAGAGACATTGATATGAGAGAGATACATCGATTGGTTGCCTCTCACACATTCCCCAATTGAGGTATGTGCTCTTGACTGCAAATGGAACTGAGACCCTTTGGTACAGGGACTGACACTCTAAGCATTGAGCAAACCGGCCAGGGCATGTCATTACTTTTTCCGTACAATGAAGGGAGCTTCATTATTGGCCTCTGTCCCCATTTCATTCATTTTCTCCCTGGGGAAGTGGAATTTTCTAATCAGTGATTTTGGGAGGAATAACTGGCTATTTTCCTCTTGGGAGAAAGACTGCTAGGAGGTGATATTTCTAGGTAGATGAGTCCAATTAACACGGGAATCTACCTGCAGACTCCTTGGCCTGTCACATTGAACTGTGTCTTCCAACTTAGCTCAACAATAGGAATATGTTATTTTAGCCTCTATCTTAATTCTTTTATTTCTCAACATTTTATTTCTCAAGAGGGGGAAAAAGGGGGTAATATTTACTGGAGCCCCTTTGAACATCTCAACACACAGCATAAGGTAGGTATCAAATCTATCCCCCTTTCTCCACACACACCGATACACACTGTTACCAGGTTATGTTGCTTCCTTCTCCATCACACGGCTGATTTTGCCAATCCCTTTTGACATCATCTCTTGCTACATCATTTTTATGACCAATAATTCCTATCTTCCCCAGGATATTATGCAACATGAATCAAATAATTTTTATGTCAACTGAGTACATATTTAATATTGTGGCCCTCAGAACTCTAATAAGATTCTCCCTTACCTGGCTAATCTCATTTCTTGCTATGTCCTGGCCCACACACTTCATACCAGCCACGTCATATTTACTCAGGCCTTTTCTATACTTCGGCCTTTCTCTCACCTCATTAAACTCACAAACCCCATTTGAAATGTATGAAGCCATCCCCATGATCCCTGTTTCCTGGTAACCACACCCATGTGTATTTAAGCCCCTTCCACTGAGTTTGGGCTGGACTTACTACCTTCTAATGAACAGAATACAGGAGAACTGATGAGATGTCAATTCTGAGATCAGATTGGAAAGACTGTGGCTTCTGTCTTAGGCACCCTCTCAGGAAGGCAGCTGCCACATCACATGGCAGCCCTGGAAAGGTCCCACGTGTGAAGTCTCAGGGCTGCCAACAACTTTGTGAGTGAACTGGGGAGTGAATTTCCACTCCACCACCCATCGAGCCTTCAGTTGAAATCACAGCCCCACCTGATAGCTTGACTGCAACCTCACAGAAGGCCTTCAGAGAGAGAGGAAACCTGATAAGTCACCCGCTAAGTTCCCGACCCCCAGAAAATGTTAGATAATAAATGTTTGTTGTTATACAGAAATTTGTAACTAAAGCAATGGTATCTTCCCTGTTTTTAATTAAAGGCAATAAGTTCTTCTTGGTTATTATTCTGTTTTCCCAACCTCACTGCCAAACCATTCTCCTGGTGCCCTTCCTCCACTGACAACAACCACAAAATCTGTCTGTTGCCCTAGGACAGTGATGGTGAACCTATGACACGCGTGTCAGAGGTGACACGCAAACTCATTTTTTGGTTGATTTTTCTTTGTTAAATGGCATTTATTTTGATATAAAATAAATATCAAAAATATAAGTCTTTGTTTTACTATGGTTGCAAATATCAAAAAATTTCTATGTGACACGGCACTAGAGTTAAGTTAGGGTTTTTCAAAATGCTGACACGCCAAGCTTAAAAGGTTCACCATCACTGCCCTAGGAAATGCTTGTTATCTCTTGTTTGTTTGTTTAAAGTCCTGATCTTTCAAGTCCGAACTGTGAAAATCTGTGTACAAAGTCCCAGTGAAATTTTGAAGGAGTGAAGTCTCTTCCTTGAAAAGGAAAATATGCAAAGTTTCTTCTTGGTTTATGAAATATTTGACATGTGCAACCTGCTCTGGTGGTTATTTTTAGATCTTCCCTCTGATGGAGTGCCTGGGTCTTGTTTTCACTTGTCTTTCAGGGCTTGTGTATGACTGAATGAGGCCAGCTCTCAGGAAGCAATAGGCATTCCTGCATAATCTTTAAGGGGAACTTCTGTATGTACATGAAGATTTATTTCTTCTTTTTCTTGTTTCCCTTTTATCATTTTAAAAATATGTTGTTTTTGCTTGCCTTTCTTATATAGGAGTACTAGAGGCCCGGTGCACAAAAATTTGTGCACTTGGCGGGGGTGGGGGTGGGGGTGGGGCAGGGGGTCCCTCAGCCCAGCCTGTGCCCTCTCACAGTCTGGGACCCCTAGGGGATGATCACCTGCTGGCTTAGGCCTGCTCCCCAGGGGATTGGCAATCAGACATCCCTCTGGCAGCCTGGTAGCCCTCAGGGGATGTCCACTTGCCAGCGGGGAGCAGGCCTAAGCTGCAGTCGGACATCCTTAGCGTTGCTGAGGAGGCAGGAGAGGCTCCTACCACCACCACTGTACTGGCAGCCATCAGCCTGGCTTGTGGCTGAGCAGAGCCCCTCCCATGTGAGAGCGCCCTGACCACCAGAGGGCAGCTCCTGCATTGAGCATTTGCCCCCTGGTGGTCAGTGTGTGTCATAGTGACCAGTCATTCCCAGTCTTTCTGCGGTTAGGGTCAGTTTGCATATTACCCTTTTACTATATAGGATAGAGGCCTGGTGCACGGGAGGGGGCCGGCTGGTTTGCCCTGAAGGGTGTCCCGGATCAGGGTGGGGGTCCCGCTGGGGTGCCTGGCCAGTCTGGATGAGGGGATGACAGCTGTTTGCAGCTGGTCACACCCCCTTAAGGGTGGGGGTCCCCACTGGGGTGCCTGGCCAGCCTGGATGATGGGTTGATGGCTGTTTGCAGCTGGTTGTACCCCCTTCAGGGTGGGGGTCCCCACTGAGGTGCCTGGCCAGCCTGAATGATGGGCTGATG